TAGGAGGCGGAGGAGGAGGAGGAGGTCCCGATGGAGAGGGGGAGAGAGAGAGAGAGAGAGAGAGAGAGAGAGAGAGAGAGAGAGAGATTCCCGTCTCTCTCTCTCTCTCTCTCTCTCTCTCTCTCTCTCTCTCTCTCTCTCTCCGCTCGCTTCCAAAACACACACACACACACACACACACACACACACACACACACACACACACACGCCGCCCTCCCCCCTCCTCCCTTCCCCTCTCCCCCGGGGTGTGCCCGTTCTCCTCTCTGTCCTGTGTACCCGTAAACCTGTCTGTGTGATGCTACATCATGTGCATGTTGTGCTATCCCAGCACCATCTCTGACTCTGTCTTGAACAATTGTCCAACTGTCTGGGTGGTTAAGCATTCTGTTTTTGAAACTCGTGTTCACTTTGTTGTTCGTTACGAAATGTGAATGTTACCATCTCCAGAAGAGACTCCATGCTGAGTTGTGTTCACTAACATTTCTGCTTTGCTGTGGGACAATCTTGTGAGTGGTTGTATTATTAACGTGTATACCATCTGCAACTCGTTAGGTGTTTGTTGCCAAGGCAATTGCTTTTTTGCATGTGCAGCGTTTCTAATGAGCAGCACTACCAAAAGATATCTGGTGTCTTGAAACCCTGGTCTTGGCTCAGAGAGTGGTTTGGATGCAAATGTGCTGTCCTGTTTTTGATTTGATGGAACGTGTAATGAAATTCAAAAACTTGTCTAAGAATCTTGGAAATGTTTGGCAAACAAAAATACTTACTGAAAAGAGTCTAAAGCAAACAAAGAAACTTTCAAAGGATTGATGATTCTTTGTGTGGATTGGGTGCAGCTCTGGCAGTAAGACACAAGAGTAGTGGTGCTAAACTTGAAAGTTGATTGCAACATGAAAATCTAAATGCCTGCAAGCTCTTCTCCTTCTTGTCCTTCCTAGCAACGTGGGTCGAATGGAGGCCAATGATTAAGCCGCAGACACACTGGTGCTGAGTAAGAGGTTGACTTTGGCAGGAAGTCTAAGGGTACTAACCAAGGTGTTTGCCCTGTTTTTGTGGTCGTTTGTGTGGATCTGTAGCAGCTTTAGCTCTAAAGCTGCACCTGTAATGCTCTGGAATTTGCAGACTGATCTGGCTGGGAAGATCTTCATATGGTAACATGCAAGCATGTAAATTCCTTGCTTAGTTTACTTTCTCAGGCATCCTGTGAGCATGGGCCCAGATGTGTTACTGTCCCAGCTTTAGCAAGGGTGGCTGATGGTTCTTGGCTGGCTTCTCGAGGACGGGTTGTGAATGGAATGGTAAGGAGTACCGAGAACAAGGGTAGAGGGAGGAAGTGAAGAATCAGCAGTTGTAAAACCATGAGCGCTGTCCCTCATACGGATGGCTGTATACGAAATTGGTTCCAGTGCAACAGAATGTGAGGGCATAGGATGTGTGCATCACACAAGAGTGGGCGCTGTAAGGTGCAGAAGGAAAAAAAAGTGTACGGTAGCAGCTTGGTCGTAGGTGATTCATCGTATGGATGATTGTAAACAAAGCCGGTCCCTAGAGGGGTGGCATGTGAAGGGGGTGGGATGAAGGTTCATACAGAGGGTGGCTGCGACAGTGCAGCCACCCCAGCTGAAGGCACAAAAGAGGTTTCTGGAACAGTTCATGGCATACCTTTATTCGAAGGACATAGTGGCATACCATTCCTGAGCAAGGGACAGGACTACAAGAGCGGCGGCTTCGGTTTGCAGGCTGCAGGGAATCGACCAAAAGTGGCAACTCACAAAGGTGAAGCTGATGATGAAAGAAATGAATTGGGTGGATTCTTTCGAACAATGGATAGCAGAAGGATGGGGATCCCCAGATTCTTTCAGAGGTTGGCTGATGGCCCAGATTCTGCGTCAGAAATGGACCGAGCACGACAAGCTGATGCGACTGGTACTCGAGCAGGTGTGGGGCACTATGGCCATGAAGAACAGAAAGGTCAGTGACTGACACTCATGTTATGAACCTGGGCGGTGTATACCTTTCCATCCCTTCGTGTATGATGACCGTTGCTAAGTGTCCATACCGCTTGCTTGGAGCCCTCTTTGAAGTATTCTGGTAACGTGTAACACTATGCTGCGCTGAACAGCACACTTAACCAAACGAGATTTCCAAAATCTTCACATGTTAGGATGAGAACGAACTGGCAAACATCTCCCAGGTTAAAAGAATCCAAGATTGACAGTCAGTCGAATATGAAACCTTGCCCATTTTATGGCCTGATTGGCTGGGACTACTTCGGTTTGATCATTTAATGCTCAGGGTCCTTGATTTGGCTTTGAATAAGTTGATGTAATTGTTTGATGCTCAGAGTCTTCCTCCATCTGAAGTGGCCCTCATTGAGTATAGATTAAGTATGGACTGAGTATAGACTAAGTCTAGACCGAGTATAGGTGTTACATCTTCGATGCCACACGGGTCCTACCGGACCCGACTTAGGGCCGGAGGGACACACCAGGGCCTAAAGGCCCGACCTTGAGGGTCACAGGCCCTAAAGGCCTGWTTTTGCACTCAGCCCAGTGGGTAGGCCCAAACGACAGTTTGTTTGGGCCTGGCGGCTCTCTTGAGGCTGCCACCCGCCGAAGGAGGCTGAACCGTCCATCTGGACGGTCCAGGGTCTGGC